TATGTAAAAACACATGCATCATACATACATTCTAGAGCATGCATAGCATAATACAGGAATGAGTAATATTCGCAAAACGGAGCAGGTAATATTGAGAGACTCACCTCCTCGGCTCAACATTTGCAAGGATTCGCTCCAACAGCCCCCTTAAAGCCCGCATCTCTTTGCTGACGTCAGCAGCATGGGCCCTGACATCAGCAGCATGCGCCAGCCAATCCCTGCGCAGCAGCTGAAAGTCGGCCTGGACAGCCTTTCCTTGCTCCCGAACCTCCGCTATCTCCCGAAGCAGAGCAGCCGAATCCTCCCCCGAATCTAACCCCGAGCCTCGTGTTCGACCCTCCTCGCCCCAGCCATATCCTTCCTCTGTCTCTCTCCCTCCTACCCTCTCTCCTCCTCCTCCTGCCCCCCCTCCTCTCTCTCCTCTTCTCCTCTCTGTTGATTCCATGCCTCCACCCCACTCCCTACTCTTCACCCCTTCCTCCTCCTCTCCCTTCCCTGCCTGCCCAATCATCCCATTACTCAATCCGGAATCAAATCTAATCCCAGATTGACCTCTTCTCAGCACCTCTCGCTCTCCACGCACACTCACCCCTCCTCCGCTCTCTCCTCCTCTCATCCCCCCTCTTTCACCTCCAAATCCCCTATCTCTATACCCAAAGCTGTCAGGGACAGAAGGAGCAGAAGACGCAGCAGGGGAGGAAGGGGGAGCAGCAGCAGCAGAGGTTAAAGCAACAGCACCTGTCATGGCTTCCCCACCCTCCACACCCACCTTTCCCCCCTTACCCGCCTGTCTCCCACCTATACTCCCAGCAGTAGATGCATTCACAGCAGCAGCAGCACCAGCAGCACCAGCAGCACCAGCACCAGCAGACGCAGTTGCAGCAGCATTGGCCGCAGCAGCAGCGGCGGCAGCAGCAGCGGCACTAGCAGCAGCGTTGGCCGCAGCAGTGTCAGCAGCACAGGTAGGGAAGAGGGGGGAGGGGAGGGGAAGGGCGTGGGTGGTGCTGCTGCTAGAGAGAAAGAAGGGGGAGGAGGCGAACGAGGTGTTACCCATCATCGATCGCTGCTTGCTGCCATGTGGGGGAGGGGGTGGGTGGAGCGGAGTGGGATGGCAAAGAGAGGGGTAAAGGTAGGGACAACGAGCAGGGAGGGCAGAGAGGAGTGAGAGGTGTCAGGTACAAGGAATGTCCAGCGTTGATTGTTGCTTTTTGGCATGAGGGAGTGGGTTGACGAGAGGAGAAGTTGGAGGGGAGGGAGAGGGGCGGAGAAAGTGGGAAGAGAAGGAAATAAACGAATTGCTCATGTTTGTCACAAAGGATAGAGGACGGAGGAGGGGAGGGGCGGGTGGGGAGAGCAGGGATTCGATTTTGCGGGTCTACAAAGGCAACGAACACCACACAAACCCACCACACCGCAACCCACCACCACACCCCATCCCACCCCACCAGACTCCACCTCACCGCACTGCACTACCATGTCATGTTTCAGCATCGTACCTCTTCTCAGCCTCCTCAGCCGCGGAGTAAGACACACAGTACTTGGCCACCGTCCTCAGGAGATCAAACGGACTCCAGAACCCACCCCACCCCACCACCTCCAAACCCACCACACCGCAACACACCAGCGTACCTCTTCTCAGCCTCTTCAGCCGCAGAGTAAGACACACAGTACTTGGCCACTGTTCTCAGGAGATCAAACGGGCCGGGAAATATCAAATCCCCTCCCCCTCCTCCCGCTCCGCCCCCTCCTCCTCCACCCTCTTTTTCCACCTCCCCCTCCCCCTGCACACTCGCATCCCCCTTCTCAGCAACCCGTCCCTTGGAACGTTCAGCAGAACCAGCACCAGCCGCAGCGTCCGGAGCAGCAGAACCGTCCACACGGCTGGCAGAAGCAGAAGCAGAAGCAGCAGCAGCAGCAGCAGCGGAGGGAGCAGAGGCAGAGGCAGAGGCAGAGGCAGAGGCAGAGGCAGAGGCAGAGGCAGAGGCAGCAGGCACAGCGTCCCCGTCAGTCTGTGGCTTGAGCAGCTGCCAGTAGGAGGACACGCGCAGAGCCGCCTCTAGCTTGGCAAAGAAGGGCGTCTGGTGAGAGGGTGAGGGGCGGGACACAAGGAGAGGGGCGAGGGGGCCGAGGGGGGCGGGACAAGAGGAGAGGGGCGAGGGGGGCGGGCAGGCGAAGAGGAAGGTGGGGTGAGGGTGGGGGTGAGGGTGGCAGTAAGGCACGGATGCACGTGATACTGGGTAAGAGAGTGGGTGAGAGTGGGTGAGAGTGGGTGAGAGAGTGGGTGAGAGTGGGTGAGAGTGGGTGAGATTCACCTTTCTGAGGTTCTTTTTAAGCGCCAATGCGTTGTACACGATGGGCACGAGAATGAGACTCACAGTTGCAGAAACGAGGTCAAGATGGCAAAATCGGGTCAAGAGTGATCCAGTGGGGTTGAGAGTGGCTGAAAGAGGTTGGGAGTGGTCGATACCTAAGTTGGAATATACGCTACTTTCATTTTGCGTTTTGCGTTTATACGCTTGTCGAATTCGTACGTTGCGTATAGTTTGAAAATTCGCCGAGTTGAATTTCGGGCAGACCGAAAAAAAAAAACAAAATTTCAATCTGAAGCTCGCGACGTGGCGATCTCAATTCCGAGTCGCAGATGTCGCGAAATGAACTCAAAATTTGAATTTCGAGCACCAAACCTCATCAACCCCTCCCCTCAAACGTTTCACACCCCTTTGAACCACAGCATTCCACCATCCCCTCCAAGTGCTACTTTACTGGTTGGGAGCTCAACCCAACCCAATCTCCCAGGCATAAAGAGAGGCGTTTGTTCCCTCGACATTCGTTCTCTCGCTTCCTATTCTAGCTATTTCCTTTCCCAAGCCACCATGGCTTCCACTCCTACAGCAACCACTTCTCGTACGCCACCCTCAGAGTCTCCTGGTAGTTCCGCTGGTGGGACCTCTTCTAGTACGTCTTTGGTCTGCATGGACAGCAAGCACGCAGTCTACCGTCACTTCAAGGTGCCGGCCAATAGCGTTGGCGAGAACGGCACCAAGGTGTGTGCCTACTGCAACTTCACGTTTGTTGGCGGGGTTCACCGTTGCGCGCAGCATATCACCGGCTGGAACGGCATGCGCCGTCGCGAAGTGCATCTCTGCACTGCAGCGCCGAAGACTGCACGTGACGCCGTGAAGGTGCTTTACGAGTCCAAGTTGAAGGCCCGTGAAGCGAAGCGTGCGGCTGAAATTGCGGCGGTCGGCGCAGTCAACGGCAGAGGTTCGGAGAAGAAGAAGAGTTGGATGACCGATTTCTACGGCGAAGACGCCGCGTGCGCGAACCAAGCTGCGGACGAGGCCATAAGCCTCTTCTTTGCCGATCTTCATGTGCCGGAGCATCACGCGGACCACCCACTATGGCACAATGTGGTCTCCACCATCCAGCGCGCGGGGCTGAATTACGTCGCGCCGAAGAGACGCTACATCGGTGGCGCCGGTCTTGCAAAGTGTCGCCAGCGCATTGAGGCGGCGCTCGCTCCTATCTCAGCAAGCTGGCGCCGTGACGGTGTCACCGTGGCAAGCGACATGTTCTCCGACAAGGCCGGCCGCCCGCAAGCCAACGTGCTCCTCATCAACGATAGCGGTGCGGTGTTTGTGGAGTCGATCGACACGAAGATGGAGATGAAGACCGGGGGCTACATCGCGGGCATCTTGCGGCCCATCATCGAAAAGGTCGGCCCCGAGAATGTCGTCGCCTTGTGTTTTGACGGCGGCTCCAACTACGCGGCGGCATGCAGGGTGTTGATGCGCGAGTATCCCCACATTGAACACATCCCTTGCGCGACCCATGTCCTTGATCTCCTTATGGAGGACATCGGGAAAAAGGGATGGGCGAAGGACATCATCACGCGCGGGGACACCCTCATCTCGTTCGTCCGCAACCATCACTTCACCCGGGGATACATGCGGAGTCCGCTCGTGAACGGCGGCAAGGGGAAACAGGTTCTCAAGCCCGCGGGAACCCGATTCGGCACCAACTACATCGCCATCAACCGCCTCTGTGAAGTGCGCGCCGGCCTGACGCAGATGGTCCTCAGCGATGAGTGGGTCGAGTGAACTGCGGCTGCGGAGGCTGGGGCAGACACATTCAAAGACAACATCCTCGATGCCGCGTGGTGGACGCGCGCCGAGTTCTTCGCTAAGCTGATGAGGCTGCCATTCGTCGTCATGCGCAAGACTGACTCGGATTCGAAGGGCATGATGGGTCGTCTCTACGACCTCATGCTCCAGCTCACCGAGGACATCCGCGACTTCCTCGACGAGCATGCGGAAGGGGTCCTGACAAGCGACGAGGTGGGGGATATTCGGGAGATCGTGCAGGACCGCTGGGACAACGGGCTGGCGTGCAACCTGCACGTGATTGGCCGCATCCTCTACCCCACCAACCAGGAAGAGTGCATTTTCCGCACCGACCTGGAGCGCACGAGGGTCTTCAAGCAGTACGTCTCCAAGCACCATGGTGACAAGACGGTCACCAGGAAGGACGGGGTCGAGCGCCGCGCCTCTCTCGTCATCCAGGAAGGCCACAATGCCTTCCTGAACCTCCAAGGCAGCTTCGGCATGCCCGACGCTATTGCCGACCGCCAGGCAGTGAAGGAGGGCAAGATGACGGCGGTGGACTGGTGGACATGGCACGGGACCGATCATCCTGAGCTCACCACCATGGCTTGCCGCGCCATCACGCAGCCGGTGTCCGCGTCTCCATGTGAGCGTAACTGGGCGAAGTTTGATGCAGTGCATACGGCAAGGAGGAACCGCCTCGGCGCGGTGAAGCTTCGTGACCTGGTGTATGTGACGCACAATTGGCAGGTGGTGCACAGCTGGCACAAGGCCCCTGAAGGGCTGGGGGTGGTGAAGGGAAACATCGAGGACCCCCCCCACTCCGGCTGGCTACAACGTCCCGGAGGAGGTGGAGGAACCTGAGGAGGGGGAGGATGATGTGATGGCAGATGAGTACTAGTGGATGGAAGACTCCATGCATGAGCGGCAGGCGGGGGATGGAGGGTGGACCTGAGTAGAGTAGGGGATGGGGGGGTAGTAGCATGATTAAGGTGGGTGAAGTTGTAGCGGCAAATTAGTGTTAAGGGTTTTTTTTTCCTGTAACTTTCATATTAATACAAAGGGGATGGGGGTTACAACACCCCCCCATCCCCACCTCTTACCCCAAAAATCTGCCCGGGGAAAACTTTTTTCCTGCCCGGGCAAGCGGATTCTTGTGCGTACCAGACCCCTCAGGGACTGCGGTTTGCGTATATACTCTAGCGTTTATACAGCAAGCGTACAAAACGCTAAACGCGTATATTCCAACTTAGGTCGATACCCACCTTTCTGAGATTCTCCTTGAGCGCCATGGCGTTGTACACAATGGGCACGAGAATGAGGCGCAGGTGACCCTGAGGGGTGTTTTCCTCCCCCAGCATCTTGCGCACCAACACCTTCACCTGCTCAACGCACACGTGGGAGGAGCACAAAGGACCATTAGGATGGGTGGCCCTGCGGGGTGTTGTCTGCTTTTGAATCGACTCAAAAGGCCCTGCGGGGTGTTGTCTGCTTTTGAGTCGACTCAAAAGGCCCTGCGGGGTGTTGTCTGCTTTTGAGTCGACTCAAAAGGCCCTGCGGGGTGTTGTCTGCTTTTGAGTCGACTCAAAAGGCCCAGCGGGGTGTTGTCTGCTTTTGAGTCGACTCAAAAGGCCCTGCGGGGTGTTGTCTGCTTTTGAGTCGACTCAAAAGGCCCTGCGGGGTGTTGTCCTCGTCTCGCCCAGCATCTTGCGCACCAACACCTTCACCTGCCATAGGGACAGAGGAACGCACACGCGGAGGGAGCGGGGGGGCACAGGTGGGGGGAGCACAGGCAGAAAGAGCACAAAAGACCATTGAGAGGGGTGGCCCAGCGGGGTGTTGTCCTCGTCTCGCCCAGCATCTTGCGCACCAGCACCTTCACTTGGTCGCCGTGTGGGTATGGGAGGACATGAGCACGGGACGCACAACGGAGCAGGTGAGGGGAATTCAGGAGAGCGTTGAGTTGACAGGGGCACGGGTGGCCCTGCGGTGTGTTCTCCTCGCCTCGTCCAGCATCTTGCGCACCAGCACCTTCACCTGCGCGCGTGCGGAACGGGGACGTGGGGTGGGTAAGGGGACGGGGAGTGGGAGCGCGGCAGCATGGCAGCTATGAGAATTCTCAAAGGTGGCCCTGCGGGGTGTTCTCCTTGCCTCGCCCAGCATCGTGCGCCCCAACACCTTCACCTGCACGGGTGCAGCAAGGGGAACAGGGGCGCGGCAGCAAGGCAGCACAGGTAAGGAGAGCATTGAGTCGACTCCAAAGGCGTCTTGTGCATCACCACCTTTCTCTCCACCCACTTTGTGCCCAGCACCTTTCTCTCGAACGCCCAGCGCCAGTACAAGAAGCCCTGCAGCAGGGCAGGCAGCCTTCCCTCTCTCCCTCCCGCACCCACCCTGCCATCCCCACCACTCTCCACCCCTCCCTTCCCCACTCCGCACCTCGTGCGGGCTCTCAGACGCCCAGCGCCAGTACAGGAAGCCCTGCAGCAGCCATGCACCCATATCCCCCACCCTCCCACTGCTCTCCATCCCCCTCTATTCCCTCTGATTCTCTCACCTCGTGCGGGCTCTCGAACGCCCAGCGCCAGTACAGGAAGCCCTGCAGCAGCGCAGGCGGAGAGGGCAGCGCGGAGGCGGCGGCGGCGGACGCGGCGAGGTCTGGCGAGATGGTAACCAGACGGTGCTTCAGCGACGAGAGCTTGCGACTGTAGTTGGCCTCAAACATTTTCTGGGAAGGAGGAGGGGAGATGGGCGAGAGGGGGAGGGGATGGGCGGGGAAGGGAGAGGACGGAGGGGAGAGGACGGAGGGGAGGGAGGAGAGGGGAGGAAACGGGGGAGGGGAGGGGAGAGGAGGCAGGGGAGGACGGGGTGGGAGAGTGGGGAGTGGAAAAAAAGGGGAAGTGAGCGAGGCAGCAGTGAAGCAGAGGTGGCGAGGTCTGGCGAGATGGTAACCAGACGGTGCTTCAGTGAAGAGAGCTTGCGACTGTAGTTGGCCTCAAACATTTTCTGATGGGCGAGAGGGGGAGACGGGCGAGAGAGGGGGGAGATGGGCGGGGAGAGGAGAGAAAGGACGAGAGAAGGGCGGAGGCGGGGGAGGAGAGAGGAGAGGTGAGGAGAGTGGGGAGGAGACAAGAGGAGGGGAGTGAGCAGGGGAGCAACAACAGAGGCGGCGAGGTGAGGAGAGATGGCGATGAGACGGCGATGAGCGAGGAGCGCTTGTGGCTTTAGTTGGGCTCAAACAATTTCTACTTGGAAAGGTGGAGGAGAGGAGACACGGAGGGAGGAGAGGAGACACGGAGGGGGGAGAGGAGACACGGAGGGGGGAGAGGAGACACGGAGGGGGGAGAGGAGACACGGAGGGGGGAGAGGAGTGAATGGGACGGGCGGCGGCAGAGATGGTGACGGGGCGGTGCTGGAGCGAGGAGCGCTTGTGAGTGCAGTTGGGCGAGGAGACAAGGGGGGGAAAGAGAGTGCAGAAGGTAGGAGCGGCGAGACTCACGCGCATGTGGATGAGCGGCATCAGCACGTCTCCCGTCTCTTGGTCTTCCAGCAGAAGGTACCGCTCCGTGGGGCTCACAGTGAGCCACAGCGCGCGCACGTGGAGTCCCCCCGCCGCCTGCTGCTGCTGTCGCGGCTGCTGCTGCTGCTGCGCCGCCATCCCCGCGGCTTGACGTTGTTGCGCCGCCGCCTGCTGTTGCAGGGCCTGCCGTTGCGCCGCCTGCTGTTGCGACGCCGCTCGTTGTTGCGCCGCAAGCGCCGGCGGCGGCGACAATGCTACCAGCGCCGCCGCCGCTGCAGACGCTGCTGTCGACGGAGTCGGCGGGCGACCCTGCAGCGCCGACGGAGCCGTCTTTGGCGGCGGCAATTGCGGAGGGGATGGGCCGGAAGATTCGATCTTTCTCCGCAACGCACCGGAACTTCCGCCGCTTGTGCTTCCGCCTCCGCCTGCGCCGCCGCTGCCTGCGCCGCTTCCCTCCAGCGCATCTTCCGCGCGCCTCTTTGTCCCCGCCGCCGCCGCAGCCGCAGCCGACGCCGCCGCTTCAGCTGTGCCGAAAGGTGGAAGCTTCGCGAAGCCGGTCGTAAAACTCATGGCGAATCTTCAAGATTTATATCAAAGTTTGAACTTTTGAAGACGTATAGAAGTATTTCCCAAGATTCAACCGTCGGCGTCGCGAAAGCTGGGAAAAGGCGATTCGAGACCCGCCTCAAAGTTCAGGTACTTGACTGAAAAGGTCGGTTCTGTGAAGGCCTCCCACCCTTGGAACTGCCAAGTTCGACACTCGAGAAGCCTTGCGTAGAGATATGTCGATGACCTAATCTTAAGAAAGATCAATCTATAATCAGTGGGATTAAACTGATCACGGGCAAGGCTCCTCAAAGCCAACGAGCGGCTCGCCCGCTCGACGAATCGCGCACTGACCTTATCGTCTCCAGCGCTCTACCACTATCCTCAAGCATGATGATCCCGAGTACACTATGGAGTATTCAGGGGGTGTCTAACGCCTCACGCCGGCAAACGGTCGGCGACTGGGATAGGATTGCGTGGCCGCACTACTACTCAGAAGCTACACGCCGTACCGCGTTAAGCTTCCAGCTTTCAGAAATTCCTGTTCAGTATTAACTTTCACAAATTCGCTGGCAGCGAAAGTGCCCTCAGGAGCCCTGCAGGCCGCGTCTCATTTGCTTACGCGGGAATCGATTACTGTAAAAGTTAGAGCGTGGGTATCACCAGCCAGTCTGCGCTTACTAACGATAATCCGCCAGCTAGTAGCTAGATTCGCCAGCTCAATTCCCTAGAGCTACTGGAAGGCATAGTTTGGCGAAAATGTGTAATGTGAAACTCTCTGAAAGACAAGTCAACTCGGGAGCAGAACAGAACTGAACACCGCCAGAATGAGTTTTTGGCTGGGCGAGGTCCAGGCGAAGCAGAGGGGGATGCTTCACTTGTTATCTGCACTAGCCGGGTTCTTCACTTGTATGACAGTTCTAGGTATTACCATCATGCCATCAGACGCTCCTGATTGAGCAGTAGAAGATACCGCCAATGGAGGAACAATCAGCGACGCTACCCGAGAAGATACACCGCTGGCTATGGGGGGTGGAGCAGAGAAGATGAGGTGAGGTGAGGAGGGAGGAGGACCCACGCGTCTTTCGTCGCACACAACTTCAAAGATCTACAGTAGAACCTCGCACAGTACAGTAGCACTTGTGGACCTACAGTAGCTTTCTGGAACATCTCACATCTGAGTCATCCGAGTCATCTCCCATTTCCCTCCCGTAAAACTCGCTGTCAGGTTGCGCGCTGTGCCTCCAGTAGACAAGGCACGCTGTAGCATCGCTGCCAGCCGAACCATCACGAAAGATTCACCTTCCGTTTGCTGCCAGAGCTGCACATTGCACACTTCAAGACGGTGGCCACATGGAACGCAAAATTCCCGCGTTGGAGATCAAGTCCACGGAGGCTGGGTGGGTAAGTTGGGGGGGTTAATATATAGGCGGTCACAAACAGGGGCTCGTCATCTCAAAAAGTCACGCTGCTATCGCGAACGGGCACAGAATCTAGCTATCTATCACGGATGGTCACAAAATCCGGGATTTCTATCATGGATAGTCACACGCTGCCCCAAAAACTTATCACGTTTCGTCACAAGACGAAACGCACGGTGTAGAAGCTGTAACGGCCTTAAACTGTTGAGATTTATGAACATTTAACTGGCAACTGGTCTTGTCATATATGCGTAGCTAGCCTGGTTAATTCCGTAGCGAGTCGCGGAGGCGAAGGTTACAAAAATTTGCATGCCTAAAAAAAACTAAAACCCTCTCAGATGGCATGCCATCCGAGAGAGCATCAACCCAACACCATACGACAAGGTGTTAAAGGTTGATACCGAAAGTCCACAGATACGAGGTTCAAAAAAAAAAAATTCTTTCTTTTTGCGGACGGATATAATTATGCAAATCTGTTGCGGGAAAAAGACAATTGTTTCATGTTTTGAACGAGTTTGCGAAAGTGATCGCGAACTTATTCGGAGGTAACACTTTCTTTCGCGCACAATATAGCTTTCCCCGAATCTCTACAGTTACTCGTGAAATTTCAACTTTCCACGGAGCGTTTCATTGTGTGACCGTACGTGATAGATCGTGGGGCAACATTGTGACTACCCGTGATAGAATTCCTGATTTTGTGATCGTCCGTGATAGGATCCTAGATTCTGTGACCGTTCGTGATTGCCAGATGATCAGTCGTGATATCGAGCCAGTGTCTGTGACTGGATATATAATTTCCCAAGTTGGGGACGTTTCAAAAGGGTAGGATCCCAGCACTACCAAACCGGAGTCTTTCGAGACTGTAAGGGCGCGTGTGATCTATTTTCAAGTTCGGAAAAAGGGTCGAACTTTGTGTGGTTACCAGCTTCGCTAATGTCGTCAGGAAGCTTTGGCGAAGACATGAGAATTTTGGGGCACATAAGTTCGAATGTCAAATGTAAACTCAACTCGAATCACACGAGTGAACGTGCGGGTGCACGTGAGGCGAGTGTGTGACGTACGAAGGCCATCCGAAAATCGCGACCGCTTTGCGAAGGTCGTTGAGCTTCGTTGCGCATTACGTTAACGTGTCGCGCTGTACCAGGTAACCTACTCCCCTACGGGCGGCTCGCCGCCATCCCTAAAAGATCGAATCTCTGTGTTCGACCTTGGGTGTGAGATTGTGACTCGTTTGTGTTGGAGACCCAAGATTCGAACTTCGCTGGAAAGAAAGTCGAGTTTTGTTCAAATGCTACATTCGACCTAAAAACATAAACTTTCACAAATTTGTAAGACCACACGCGCCCTAAGTGGTTGGGCTCTAGCTACCCATCCTGACTGCTGTGGCTTGGCTTGGCGCTCTCGTTCCCCTCAAGTTTTGCTCTCAACTCGAATGTGGAGCCGAGAATAATGAAGCTTTCCGCTTCCCTGCTACTCCTTGTACTCGTTTACACCTGCTTCCGCTTACCTTCTACACCATTGAATCGCCATGATGATAACGTTTTTTGCGTTCGCTCTTCTTCATGGATCGATCTTCTCGAAGGTAAGCAAAGCTCCTTGATCTGTAACGAGTGTCTTGTGCGCATGCTCTTGGGTCTTTGGATCCCCCTCTGGCTTCTCTACTCCAACTTTCTGGGAAAGGTGAGCTGGGCTAACAATGTGTCTTTACTAACTTCCGTGTTTTGTGCAAACGCAGAGCGCCACTTCAGCAAAGATTCCTTCCTTGCCCAACGCGACGACTGGTGCTCCCGTAATGCTGGAAGCTTGCTACCTTATCCTTATGTTCTCCCCGTCCAAGTTGGTTCCGAGTCAGAATTGACCACCTCAGGCTGCTCTCATTCATGCAAGACCCTTGTGGCGGTCTTGCTTCGTCCCCCCGATCAGGGCTTATTGTTCCCACCTCATTGCCAGCGTGCTGTCCCTCGCGGTTGCCTGACTCTTCCGCTTAGGGCGCGTGAGGTCTTTGAAATTTGTAAAAGTTTATGTTTTTAGGGCGATTTTTAGTTTCGAACTTACAACGAAAGAAGTTCGAATTTCCTTCTATCGAAGTTCGAACATCGGGCTTACCACACTGTAAAAAATCACACACACATACAAGGTCGAACCCCGACATTCGAACTTGTAAAAACGAGCCGAGCCGCACGTCAACATCATAGGTTACCCGGTTCGCTCGTCTTGACGGTGCGCCACGTCAACATTTTGCGCCTCGGTTTACAAGGACCTAGAGCTCCAACTCACCTTCCGCGTCGAGTGTGTAGGGAAACTATATTCCAGGTCCATACTTTCAGATTTCTCTCAAATTTAGCCGCGGGTCGACTCAAAAATTACTACTTTCTAGAATTTCGCTCACGCGAGGCCCAAAGTATGTTCAAAACTGGTCCTGCGGGGCGAAGTTTTCGACACGTGTCCAATTTCGCTTTGAAAAAATTTCGACGGGGCAAAAAATAATAAAACCCCTCGGGACCTAGGGCACATTTGCGGGAGGGATCAACCCTAAACACCAAGCGGGTCCCCGTGTTTAGGGTTGGTCCCTTCCGAACGTGTGTCCTAGTTCCCCTAGGGGTTTTATGTTTTTTGCCCCCGTCAGAAATTGCTAATAAGAAACAGGACACGTGTCGAAAAGTTTGCCTCGCAGGACCAGTTTTGAACATAATCTGGGCCTCGCGTGAGCAAACTTCCAGAAAGCTGTACCTTTTTAGTGGAATTAAGACTAAATTTGAGATATTTTTGAAACTATGGAGCTGGGATATACTTTCCCGAGTGTGTAACTAGGGTACAAATAGCCCCCGTGGCAACACCTTGTATGCAGGATACGTGGCTACAACTGTGTGCACGAATTGTGGGGTGTCTTCGTTGTGCAACTTCATGCACTGGCGAAGCGCTCGCCCGTTTCGCCAGCTGTTCGGACGTGCTGCAAATCACACACGCTCGCATGAACGTGAGCACGCACGTTCGCGCCTCCGACTCGAGTCAAGTTCATATTTCAAACTCGAACTTTTGCAGAGCCCATACAATGCTTGGTTCGCGAAGCACCCTTCGCGAAATTAGCGAATAGGGTAACCACCCAAAGTTCGAACTTTATTTTGAACTTCTAAACAGACCACACGCGCCCTTAACTCACATGCGTGTCTTGCCGACTCGGGCAGCCGATCTGGCTCCCAGTCACCTCCTAATGGTTGCCACGGCCATCGCCAAAGCACCAATTTTTACTCTTTGTCTCTCGATGTGCGGTCCGGGTTTTTGCCTACACTTGCAACATTTCCCGATCCGGTGGTTCTCCCCCTCTCACCACGATCTTGGCATAAAGCCAGGCCTTTGGCTATTTCACAAGTACCTCTCGCAACCATGGCTACCGAGCACAATCCCGACCACGTCATGACGGAAGGTCAGATTCCCGTTGGAGACGATTACTTTGATGAGCTGGGGGATGAATTCCTCGGTGAACTCCCTGACGGAGCTCTGCGCGATCTCCACGAGAATGCTGCGCCGTCTGCTCCTGTCGGTGCTCAGCCGCCTCCCTCGGGAGAACCTGCGGCGAAGAAGCTATGCAGTGAGGGGCAATCCTCGGCTGCTAGTACCTCAGGCACTGCCTCCGCGCCTCCTTCGGCTCCTCCCCCGGTCCCCCGCGCAAGCTCCTCCGGCAGCTCTGCTGCTACGGCTTCTGCGCCTGGTCGCACACCTCCTCCTTCTGCGCCTCGCCCGGCGCCTGCTTCTCGCTCTCGGCCTTTGCAGCCGGAACCTGAACCAGACCATACAGCTGCTGGCGTGACCACCGGTCTTGCACCCAACGCTCGCTATCGAAACTTGCGCCGTCATCGCATGACGGTTGGAGCGGTTCTGCACACTCTGACGCGCGACACGCAATCGATGGTGGATGTGATTTTCCCCGAGTCTTCATCGGAGGAGGTTCGCGCCGCGGTGCTTTCGCATATCTCAGCTCTCATCAACGGTCAGGCTTTCAACGGTGTTATTATTCCCTCGTTTGAGTCAGCGGGCGGTGAGGCCTTACAGCTTCCCCGCCACACGTATTCCAGGCATACCTTTTCTTGGCCTTCTACTAATGACGCTAGGATCTTTCGCAGCCTCTTTCCGGTCACAGTTTGTCTGGCTAACAACCGTGGGATGGAAGTCAAGGTGTTCTCAGATCCCAATCAGGAGTTCACGACGGCTCGCGCCAAGGGTGACACCCATGTGGTTCTCCGCAACGTTCCGATGGGGTACTCCCCCGAGCGCATGCGCAACACGCTTCTCGCGGGAACGACCGAGGCAGGACTTGAGAAAAGAGAACGAGGATGATTGCACCATGAAAGAGTTGGGTACAAGTACTAACCCTAATTGGGTTGTACCCCTTATGGGCTACCCCACTACAGCCTACACTAATGTATAAGCTATATTGTTCTGACACACCCCCATAGGCAAAGTGGGGGAGAACAAGGGGTCACAAGACCAGTCAAGCAAAGTAAAGCAAAGTAAGCTCAAGGTGGATCACAAAGTCACCACACATTCCGAGCACAAGTTCAAGGCCACAAGGCCAGTTCACATGCAGGATTACACATATATACAAGGCTAGACAAGCAAGAGCAGGTGTATATATATATATGCAACAGTACAAACAAGGTCAAGGAGTGAGCAAATGAGGCAAGGTAGGCACAAGACCCAGCTGAGTACAGAAGCGCTGATGATCACAAGGCGCAAGTGCCTTGGTGAAGATATCAGCAGTGTTGGCCTCAGAGACCACGTACGCAAGTCGCAGCTGACCACCCTGCTGTAGCTCACGAGCAAGGAAGTAGCGAAGAGCAATGTGCTTCGTTCTGTGCTCCAGTCTCTGCTCTCGACACAAGGCCGGCATGGCCTTGTTGTCTACGTACAGCACTGGAGGAGAACGAGGCGGCTCTCCAAGGTCAGTCAGCAGGTAGGTGAGCCAGCGAAGCTCCTGTGCAGCCATGGCCCCAGCGTAGATCTCAGCCTCACAACTGGAGCCGAGAACAGAAGACGAGCGGGTAGCCCGCCACGAAACAGAGCCGGAACCAAGGCTGAAGGTGTAACCCTGTGACGACCACTGCGTAGCCTGGTCGTCAGCCTAAGAAGCGTCTGCGTGCCTAGTGAGGACCACTGGACTCTGCCCTCCAAGCACAAGCCCCATGCCCGACGTACTGCACAAGTAGCGCAACACCCTCTTCGCTGCAGCCATGTGCTCCGGTCTGTGTCTCCCAGGAGCAACATAGCGTGCAAGAATGCTAAGAGGGTATGCAAGGTCAGGTCGTGTGCAGGTCATCAGGTACATGAGGCAGCCAACAAGCTCTGGGTACGGGCCACTCGATTCTACGGACTCATCCGAAGGCAGAGCTCAGAGCGAGTGGCGAGTAGGCAGAGGAGTGGCCTGAGGCGAGGAGTACGTGAAGCCGAAGCGCTGAAGGACCTGCTGCACCATGTGTGACTGAGTCAGGGTAATGGTGCGTCGTGCTCTGTCCCGGGTGATCTGCAAGCCAAGGTAGTTGCGCAGTTCACCCAGGTCTGTGCACGTATGTCTCTTCTGCAGCTCGGACTTCACGTGGGCGAGTCCAGCAGTGTCAGCAGTGGCAAAGACCAAGTCGTCGACGTACACGAGGATGTAGAACGACGGCAAAGAGGTGTCGGTGCGCAGAAACAGCGACGGGTCGGCAGTAGAAGGAGCAAACCCAAGAGCCGCAAGTGTAGTCCTCAGTGTGTCGTGCCACTCACGGGGCGCCTGGCGGAGACCGTAGACTGGCCGCCGGAGGCTCCACTGGGTACTAGGAGGAAACGACCCAGTGAAGCCAGGTGGGCGGCGCAGCTAGATCTCCTCGTGCAGGCTGCCCTGTAGGAAAGATGTGCTGAAGTCAAGTGAGTGAAGCTCGTAGTCGCGTTGAGCGGCTATGTGCAGCAGCACCCGAAGAGTGGTCATCCTCGGGGTGGGAGAGAAGGTCTGAAAGTAGTCAACTCCCTGCCGCTGATTGAAGCCTCGAGCCACGTAACGCGCCTTGAAGACAGGCGGAGAACCCAGCGGCCGCTTCACCCTGAAAATCCACATGCCACTGACGATGTTCGCCCCAGGTGGGGGAACCTCGTCGACGTAGGTGCCTGTGGACTTCTAGGAAGCCATCTCTGTGTCCATAGCTTCCTGCCACCAAGAGGAGTAGGGACCCTCTATCGCCTCCGCGTAAGAGCGCGGAGTCGGGATGTCAAGTGCATCCAGGTCTCCCTCAAGGGTAAGCAGTACGGACACGAGATGAGGTGAAGCAGCAGCCAGACACTGGAACTCCTCCTGCCTGTCCTCAAGGACGTCCGTGCCAAGGGCACACTCACCTCCGACGGACAAAGGACAGATAGACTCAGACTCAGCGACAAGACTAGCAGCGTAGTCTAGACGACAGCGAGCAGCAAAGTCGACGAGCTCAGTAACTAAGGCAGACGCAACAGTGGACTCAAAGGAAGGGTCAGTGACGACAGTAGCAAGGAGACGCGTGAAAGTAGGACTGGCAGCACGAAGAGAGTCTGACTCCGGGTCGGCAAGAGCAGGAAGAGAGTGTCAAACATTATATCTAATGTTGTAGTTGTTTAGGCTGCAGTGGGTTAGCCTATAGGGGGTACACACTTCTAGGTTTCCACATTTGTACTCATTCGTTCTTAGTCATTTCATTCCTCGTTCAACATGGTATAGAGCAGGTCCTTCCTAGGACCGTTTTTCCTAAGGGCCCACCACTACCTACCTACCTATCTGCCTACCTGCCCTAGGGCGCCTCGACGTTCACGCCTCTAGAGGCCCTGTAGGCCCCGCGCTGTTGCACCTAGAGGCCCCGAATCGGCCCCGCGCCTAACCCTAACGGCCCGCGTCGACCCCGAGCTCGTCCCCTAGAGGCCCGCGTCGGCCCCGCGCCTACCCTAGAGGCCCGCGTCGGCCCCGAGCCTACCCCTAGAGGCCCGCGACGGCCCCGTCCTTACCCCTAGAGGCCCGCGACGGCCCTGTCCCTACCCCTAGAGGCCCGCGACGGCCCCGATCCTACCCCTAGAGGCCCGCGTCGGCCCCCCCGATCCTACCCCTAGAGGCCCGCGTCGGCCCCCGTCCCTACTCCTAGAGGCTCGCGTCGGCCCCGTCCCTACCCCTAACAGCCCGCGTCGGCCCCATCCCTACCCCTTACAGCCCGCGTCGGCCCCGTCCCCAACCCCACCCGCTCCCCGCGCTCCCCTTAGCCGCCTCGAACGGCCCCACCTAGACCGCGCCGCCCGCACCGAACAGCCCGGCCCTAACGGAACCGAGCCGCCCGAACCGAGCCGCCCGGCCCGAGCCGCGCCGCCCGACCCGAGCCGCCCGAACCGAGCCGCGCCGCCCGACCCGAGCCGCGCCGCCCTACCTATACCGAGCCGCGCCGCCCTACCTGTACCGAGCCGCGCCGCCCTACCTATACCGAGCCGCGCCGCCCTACCTGTACCGAGCCGCGCCGCCCTACCTACCTACTGCTCCTGCTGCTTTTACTACTGCTACTACCATGGCTAGCCCTCCAGTGCTAGCCTTCGATGCTGAGGGGCGCCCAGTGAAGTTCGACACCTGGCTTGATGACCTACACCTCTTCCTACAGCTCACTGCCAAGGAAGACATCTCGCTGTACGATCACGCCCTAGGCCACGCTACTGCTCCTGCTGCTACTGCCGACAGCACTGCTCGCTCACAGTGGTAGACTCGTGACGCCCATGCTCGTTTCGCTATCCGCAACTCTCTGCCGATAGATGAGCGCGAGCACTTTGGGCAGCACAAGACTGCACAGGCACTGTACACTGCTGTCGTTGCCCGCTACTCCTCACCGGCCTCTGCTGCTCTAGGCCGTCTCTCTCTTCCCTACCTGTTCCCCGACTTAGCTTCGTTTCTCACTGTCGCTGACCTCATTACCCACCTCCGCACTAGTGAGGCTCGCTTCCGCGCCGCTATGCCTGATGAGTTCCTCGCCACGAACCCACCCCCGCTCTGGATCACTCTCTACCACCTAGTCACGCGCCTCCCTGACTCGCTGCGCTCAGTCAGGGACCACTTCCTCGCTCGCTGCCCCACCGAGCTCACCATTGCCCTCCTCGAGAAGGAACTCCTTGCAGCCGAGACTAGCATAGTCGCTGTAGGTGCCTCTCGCGGTGACCCCCGCACCCCGTTCTTTGAGGGGTGTTCTCCCTCCCCCCTTCTTCCCTCTGTCGCCTCTGCTGCTGCTGTCGACCTCCTTGGTGCTGAGAAGGTCGGGACTGCGTCTGCTTCGGGCGGACGCCGCAGCGGCAAGGGCAAGGGGGGCAAGAGCGGTGGTGGTGACAGCGGGGGTGGCGGTGGTGGGGGAGGTGGTGGCGGGGGGGGTGGCGCGGGTGGGGGAGGTGGCAGCGGTGGTGGGGGTGGCGGCAGCGGCGGGGGAGGTGGCCGGGGCGGAGGAGGTAGTGGGGGTGGCGGTGGACGAGGCGGCGGCAGGGGTTGGGGTGGTCGAGGAGGTGGTGGCGGGAGTGGTGGGTGTGGCGGCACTGGCGGTGGCCAGGGACAGCAGCACACTCCCTCGCCCCACGAGGTCCGTGAGTGGTACTCTCAGCACGGGGGGGGGGGGGGGGGTGGCCTTAGCTGCACGTACGTCATTCGCACTGGTGACCGCACTGGCCAGCCGTGTGGGGGACTGCACGCCACACAGCGTTGCTTCGCTCGTCTGAGCGACGCTTGGCGTGTTCAGTTCCCTCAGGCCACTGAGCTGCCCCGCTGGCTTGATCTCCTGAAGAAGGGGATTGATATCTATGCTCTAGACTTTGATGCTATTCTCTCTGCCATGTATGTGATGTCTACTAGTGGAGAGGGTTCTGAGTACCTGAGTGACCCGCCCGACCCGGGCATTAGGACGAGTGCGTCTGCTGCTCCAGGTACCCACGTGTCTGCTACCCCAGGTGCTGGTGAGGCTGCTGCTCTAGGTGCGTGCGTGTCTCCCCCCCCTGGTACTGTGTCGACTGCAACACTCCACACCTTCACGCTGGATTCAGGTGCCTCTCGCTGTTTCTTTCGTGACCGCACTGCCCTTGAGCCCCTTGCTCGGCCAGTTGCTGTCTCCCTTGCTGACCCCTCTGGGGGTCCGGTCATTGCGACCTCCTCCACTGTCCTTCCCTGCCCTGCGGTCCCGTCGGGCACACTGTCAGGTCTCCACCTCCCCTCGTTCTCCACGAACTTGGTGGCAGGTTCTGCTCTCCAGGACGGGGGTGTTCACCAGTTCACCCCTGCCTACGAGCGTGTGACACACTGCACGTGTGCTCG